CCCCAAAACCCCAAAACCCCAAAACCCCAAAACCCCTATTGGATAAAGGTTAGTTGAAATACTACAACTTAATAATATTACATTGTAACTAAAATGAACTCCGTTCCTAAAATTACCTGAGATGAGAACATCTCTGATGAGTTTTTAAGCGAAGAAGTATCCTCCTGCAGAGTCCCTACCTCCAAGAAGATTCTGGAGAACATGAGCTTTAAATCTATGAGCATGAGGAAGCAGACTGGTATGAAGAAACTTAGTTTTAATCCAAGAGATGCTTCTTATTGTGTCCAGAACAACGACCTTACTCATGGGCTTAAAGAAAATAGCAACAAGCAGAGCTATTGGAGTGAAGAAATCAAATATGGAAATATTAACAAGCCCCATATCTTATCTTCATCTGCCAAGACAGGCAAACCAAGGAACTCTTTGAAATAAAGAGATTAGCAGTCTTTTGAAAGTAGCTGCTGAGATTAGAAGCAATAAAAAATCAAAGAGTGCTTTTTCCAAGCAGAAATTTCCAGAACCTCCTCAGAAGAGAAGAGAGCCACCTATCTGTAATGATCTGACAATGAGAGACGTCAAGCCATCTGTTTAATAATAAGCTATGAGTATTGTCATTAATAAAGTCTTTTGAATTATTTCTCCTTTTGGGAATTTTTAAGAATAAGAAATTCAGGCTGTTGACAATATTAAATCCATGATAAACTATATTATGAACTATAAAAGTTTAATCTATATTTTTTGTATTAAGACATCATTTATTTGTTAGAAGAGGCCTCAGAATTAATATTGCTGAAGGATAAATGTATGCATTAATCAATCCATTTGAGTTTTTAGCTAAATTTTTTGGATTTTTAGAAAAGGTAAAGTATACCTCCTCTTTATTTTGGCTCCATTAATTATTTCAAGCTGCTGTTGATCATTGAAATTTTTATTTCTCTGTTCCTTATAAGGCAAGGGCTCTCTCATATCTCCTTATAGAGAAGTACTTTAAAGTAAATTTTTTACATCCCATGTTGGACTAAAAAGGTTGACATAATTTTATGGTTTAACCTCAAAAACATTAACATACTTTTATTTAATTACATAACCAAATTTCATAAATTATCAAAATTTCATAGTCTCTTTAATCCTATTAATAGTGTTAAAAAGCTTCTCTATAACAAAATTTCTTGTGTTTCATGGAGAGAATTCATCTGAATAAGAATGCTTCACCCACCTCTATCTCGAAATCCCTCGAACTTCACAATTTATGAAGACTTAATATTAACAGTTCTTATCATCAAAGAATACTTAGATAACAAAAATAAAATCTAACTTATCCCCACTAATGTGTTATAGTTTACACAAATATAAAGATTCAGAAAATCTCAGCACAAATATAATATTTTCATAAATTTGCTATCAAACATAAAAAAAATCTACATTCTCTAAATCCAAACATTTAATCACCTTCACATAACATTCAGACTCTTCCCACCATCCAAATCCCATAAAATTTTCCCACATATGACCTCCAAACCCCCCAAAATTCCCAAAATTCTCATCACCCCAAACCCCCTATCTCCCCAACCCCCTCTTCTTCCTCCTCCATCTCAGCACTCATCTCACCCTCTCAGAGCCCTCCTTCCTCAAAATCCCCTTTCCACCCACACTTCCTAAACCCCTCTTCCGCATAAACCTTATTTTTATTCAACTGGCCCGCCTAGTCCCGGGGTTTTGGGGTTTTGGGGTTTTGGGG